CTCTCTCTCTCTCTCTCTCTCTCTCTCTCTCTCTCTCTCTCTCTCTCTCTCTCTCTCTCCTCCTACCTTCTCAGTCTAAGTCTACTTCTGAGTTCTCCTACGGGACTACTACTAGTATGAAGGATGGTTATGAATTCTGATGACATCTGAGACAGCGACATTGGGAATCTAGGTTGAGGACTACGGGTGGGATCTGATTTCATCTTTCTCTGGAGATGTACTTGACATTGTGAGATCGGTATCTGAGACATTGTGGGATACTGTATTCGCGACATTTCGGATTTCCGACATCTCTGATATTTCAAGATACTATTTTGGAAACATTGAGTTGACGTTATCTTCCCTCTCCTCCTCCCTTTGTCTGTCTCCTCCCCCATTCGTCCGTGGATGATCTCAGACCCTGGCCTTTCGTCTATATCCAAGGCCAGGGCTTTCACACCCCTGATGAATGTTTGAGAGTGTTCGATTGCAGTCCGAGTCAGGTCCGAGTCAGTCCAAGGTATCTCATTCTTCCGCTGTATTTGTCTCAACTCTGTATTATCTGGTCGGTTCTGGGAATCTGCGCCATACTTATGACTGTGTTTCACGAGTATGCAACAGGGCCTGTAGGCCCTTGTTTTCAGGCTTTTGGCCTGAAAACGTCACGGGCCTGGAAATGGCCCCTGCAGCCTGTTGCAGGCGCAGCATGTAACATCATGACTTGCATTCCGTAAGGTCTCGGTGGCTAAAAGGAACTGCGTTGTGTTTCTCCACGTCTTTTGTCTCATGGGCTTGGCGTGAGTAATATAGACTTTATAAAGTTATTTCGGGGGGAAATTGACCATTTCTCGATTTATGTGTGTCATCCCTACGCAGGGGCCATGCCTATCTTCTCGGTATCGTTCCAATTTTAACGGACGGAACCGTGCTTTCTCATCATGACTTGCATTCCATAAGGTCTCGGTGGCTAAAAGGAACTGTGATTTTGTTTCTCCGCGTCTTTTGTCTCATGGGCTTGGCGTGAGTAATATAAAGTTATTTTGGGGGGAAATTGACCATTTCTCGATTTATGTGTCATCCCTATGCGGGGGCCATGCCTATCTTCTCGGTATCATTCCAATTTTAATGGATGTCCCGGAGGAGAAACTTGTAGTGCTGTCTCAACTTTTCTGTGACCTAGTTTCTCTTACGATGTTAGTTTGTAGGGTTTCTAGATGTTCTCGATATGGAGAAGGGAAAAGGGGAGGGCGGTCTTCTTTCCCACAATAGGGAGAGCGGGTCCGTAGTGGTTTGATGGAGAAATAACTGAGATGGTTTGGCGAGCTCAATTGAATGGGAATCGGACAGTACTGAAGGAGGCAAGGCTGATGCCTTCTGGTTTGAGCATTCAATCCGTGGTTCGGGGATCGTTCACGTAATGCCACGGTAACAGAATAATTGCAATGGTGTACTTGGCATCTCCATTTTTTCTATGACTGTGTTTGCCCTGTAGTCCTATCTTCTTCTGCTATTGTAACTCTGTTTTCTTTTCCCTGTTTCTTTTTTCAAAAAAATTGGACCTTTTCTCGATTTTCTTATGCGTGTCATCCTTGCGCAGGGGCCATGCTAATCTTCTCTGTATCGTTCCGATTTTAACGGATGTCCCAAAGGACTCTTTTCCCTGTTTCTATTTTCCCAATTATGCAAGAGGCTGCCATGAATTTAGAGGAGGAAGGTTGTGTGCTTAACTTTGACGGGGTGTGCTGGGTAACCTGGGGATCGGAGGGTCAGGGGCGATCTTTACATCTGCGCGATGGGAAACAGGATGCGGGCAGGGATACCTAACGTCAGGGAGCATCAACAGAAAAAGAATGTGGCAGGTTGAATGTCAAAGTTCATAGGATGACTTCATGGATTTCATGCGCTAACCACCAGATGTCCAACTGGTGAGGCATAGACTCCGCTCATATAAACATGATCCCAACAAAACTTAAGTTGGCCTTATGTTGACCTTTTCAATAGCAAGAGTGAGAGTAATGATTAGGAGGACAATGATTAGAGGGGACTCACAATGATTAGAGGGGACTCTTGATGATTCGCCAAACGCAAACGCACTTTCCTAATTAAGAATCGGGTGACGCGGAAGCATTACCATTGAGCGCGGCAGCTGGAGCAAATTTTTGAGGGCGTTCACAAAGGAATTTGTGCTTGGGGTTTCAATTGAGCAGTGGATGAGATCGTCAGTCAAGGAACGGTTTGTCGGAGGATCTTATTCTTGAGGGTCTGTATCGGGAGGATGTTTTGCCTCCTTTCTTGTTTTAACTGTGTTTTTGTGTGGCTAGTTGCTGTCCTGTACAGGCGTTTACGGGGGAAAACGTTGCAGCTTTCGTACGGCTTACCTCTTTTGTATTTGTTTTTGGTCGGGTGAGACGTGAGACATTGAAGTGAGATGCCTGTTTTGCTAGCCTCTTGGCATGTTTGATAAGTTTTGATGCCGAGGCTATATCCTCTTGTCTGTAACCGAGGGTGGTTAATTTGTTGTCTGTTGTGGGAGTTGTTTTTTGTCGCCATTACGCTTGTGTCTTTTGTTTGCTTGATCAGTTAGTTTTCAGCTTTTCATTTGATTGATTGGCCGCATGTCGTTTGTCTTCTTTGCTGTCCAATTCGTTGTTCTGTGGATGGATCATTGGTATGTTGGTTGTTTTCAGAAGCGGTGCCTTTTAGTGGGATGCAACGAGGTTGTATTCGGTTGGCTGGTAACAGGGTTCTCGACCCCCGGAAGGGGTCGGGGGGTCGGGGGGTCTGGGGGGGAGCCAGGGGCAGGGGCCGGGGCGGGGGCAGGGTTGAAGGCGGGAGTGGGGGCAGGGACGGGGGCACAACAGGGGTGGGGTGAGGGCAGGTATGGGGCGGGGCTGGGGATGTGCCCAGGGCAGCGGTAGCAGGGTGTGGGCGGGGCGTGGGCGGGGATGTGTGTCGGGCTTTCTCCAGCAAGTCCGCACCACGATATCATTTTCATTCAATGATTGTTGGTGCCCAACACAGGATACTTCCTAGGGTGAGCTGTGTAGGAGATAGCCAATTGAGGAAGAGCTTGTTTTTCTTCTTCGTTTTTCGCAAGAAACATCATTTAGAAAACGCCTATAGAGTCAGAGCTTCAATTTTTGTACAGCAGTCTTCACCCTGATTGAGAGGCAACACTCCGGTGTTCTTCGACATGCGGATATCTCATGGATCTGTCGAGGCTATGGCTTAGGAAAGGGCTGGCAATGAGGAAGAAGGGGTCGGATTTCTTTTTTTGTAGCGAATATAGGTTTCATGAGGTGCTTGACTTTGTTCCAGCAGCTGCATCTCCCTTACATTAGAACAAGGAGAAAAAGAAAAAAAAGAGGTGAACTGGTAGGCCTCTGAGCACTTACCTTATCTGGTACAAGGTTATAGGTTTTATGAGATGCTGGACTTTGTTCCAGCAGCTGCAGCTCCCTTACATTAGAACAGGGAGAAAAAGCAAAAAAAGAGGTGAACTGGTAGGCCTCTGAACACTTACCTTATCTGGTACAAGGTAAGAGATGTGGAGCCCGAGTAAAGCTAGAATTGTAGCCGAAGGAAAAGGAAAAACAATCGTAGCAAAAGCGGGCTAGTTGATGACAAGAACAGGGTAGGGGTAAATCTTTCATTCTTTGGAAGCAATCAATGCTGCTGAACACCCCCCCCAAAAAAATCAATGCCTCTGTCTCAGGTTCACTCAGCCATGATGGAGGGAAGCGTAGTGTGACTAGATTTTCTAAGGAATGCTGGACCCAGTTTCCGACAGAGTAATTAAAACTTGAATCGACCACCACAGTTGACACATACTCGGCGTTTTTTTTTCCCCTCGGTTCCAGCATCCCTTACATAAAGTCTGTAACTCACTAAATGCTTCTCTCCGACCGAGAGACCCTGAGACAGTGGCATTGATTGCTTCCTTATAATTGGAAGAATTTACCACTGTTTTTACCCCCGTCTTTTGATGCGAATGTTGCCTCGGGTGGTCTCCATTACCTATGCTCCTCTCAACCTTATCTCGCTCCACGATTTCTCCATGAAGCTCTTGAGCTGGTGTAGCTGGATGGCTGGACTTGCCTCTTGCCTATGAACCTTCCCTACCTTTCCTTCGTTCCAATGATCGTCCATTTTTCTATTTCTTTAACACCGACCCTTTTTAACTTCAAAGTTTAAACTTTAAACCTGTCCGGTATTCTGCCACTGTGGACAGATGCTCAACTTCTAAGAGCATGGTTGCATGACTTTGAGCTTTGGCACACAACTGCAGAGCAGAGTCTGTGGATCTCAAAGCTTCCAGTTTACTGCAAGACTGGCCAGAGGCTGATAAAGATACGACTGCTGTGCCTTCAAAAAAAACAAAAAAAACGCCAGACTTTCTGGCTGTGCCTTATTGACACAGAATTGACTTTTTTTGGGGGCTCCCTGGAGTGGTATTTTCATGGGACTTTTATTTATTGCTGGTAGAAACCCACCACCAACCAGTCTCATTATTCAGATTATGTTTGTTTTTCTTTTGAAGGAAAAAAAAAACAAAATCTGACTGCAGGGAATCGATGAAATGCCTCACCATGTTCTGTTATGCAGCTCTATTTGCCAGCATCTTTTTTGTCTCCCACACACTCCTTGCTCTGGAGGGAAAGAATGCCGATTCCAGGGATGCGAAAGGGGCCACCAAGTCTGCAGGCTTTAAAGCGAGTCACACATCGACTGTCATTACTGGAGGGGATGATCGCTGTGTGCAGAATATACTAGGTGAGTATCTACCGAAACCTTTGAGTTGTCATTGTTATTGCCTTGCAGAATTTTTGGGACAAGCTCTGACGTACACTGAGAAAGAGGATCGCTCTCTGGAATAAACCCAGTGGCTGCCAGGTGAACCCAGAAGCAGAGTACATGAGCGGGGCACACCAAGGACCGGACAAGCTGCTTCCAGGGATTCGGTCCCAGTATGGCAAAGAACAGCCTACTGGTTGGGCCAGTGCATACCTTCAATCTCTCTCTCTCTCTCTCTCTCTCTCTCTCTCTCTCTCTCTCTCTCTCTCTCTCTCTCTCTCTCACACACACACACACACACACACACACA